TATATATATATATATATATATATATATATATATATATATATATATATATATATATATATATATATATATATATATCTAAATAGGTATAGACACAGGTAAATGCATTGAAATATTAGATCGTATGGCGGGGAATTTTTATATTGGCATTGGGATAGCGAAATTGTTGCCAATATTGGAAAACTAAATAGCAGTCAGCCAAACAGACAGGCCAATATTTAACAAAAGGTAGCCAGAGGGGGGGAGAGAGAGAGAGGGGGGATTGGGACAGCTGCAGCAGCAATGGCGATTTTCATTTTCAGCCGTCGGCAACGGAAGTCAACTTACTTTCGTTGTCTGCTCAGCGTTCCGGCAACAGCAGCGTCTGCATCTCTGTCTGCTGCTTCCTGACCCTGAAACGGCTTCAGCTGCTGCTCCACAGCAGCAGCAGCAACAGCTGCTCAAGGCTGGGCCTGGCCCAATGGGTTTGGCTGTTTGTCTGGCCGCCTCGCTTGGCTGGCCTGGCTGCAGTTGCAGACGCCAAAAGCAGCCAAATTTAAAGTCGCGACTGTTTGCTTAACATTACGCGTAGACAGCCAGCAGCTCACTCACTCTCACTCGCTCTGCCATCCTTCTCCCTTTTTTCCTTTAGCCAAAATCAAATACATTTTGCTAGCACACATGCGACCAGGAAGCAGCAGCAGCAGCGGCAGCAGCAGCAGCAACCCCCAGTGGCACTTGAAATTGCAGTCGAGCTACTTAGAAAGCTTCTCTATATATATATACATATATATATGTATATATATGTATAGTCCTTTTTGCTGCTGCCAGGGGTTGCTGTCAGCGGCAGGCACGCTCAGGCGGCTGTGTGGTAAAATCTGTAAACAAATGAGAGCCTGGGCTAACTTAATAAGTAACGCATTATTGCTGACTGCCTGGCTGACTGCCTGGATGGCTGACTGCCTGGATGGCTGACTGCCTGGCTGACTGCCTGGCCTGACTGTTTGGGTCCCATCGAATAGTTTTTTGTGTGCAATCAAAACAAATACATAAAAAAAAGGGACTCCTCGTCGTCGTCCTCATTGCCTTAATAAGCAATACTTAAGACTTAATGCAGGACATCAAATATGCGCAGCATTTACCTCGCAGTCTCTGCATGCCCCACGTTCCGTTGTTGTATTTTTTCTCTCTCTCTCTCTCCCTCTCTCTTGGGGTTGCGCTGGCTTGAGTTTCTCTGCTGCTGCTACTGCTGCTGCTGCCTGGCTGTGATTTTTGATTTAAGCATAATTTTGCAAAATGCTCAGCGCTCGACGCTTGCCGGGACATCCTGCTGTGTCCTGCTGTGCGCTTTGAAATATTTTCAAACGTCTCTTCAAGGGATTTTCTGCAATTTTCCCTTTTTTTTTTTCGCTCCCGCTTTCTCCATTTTCCATTTACGTTTGCTCCGTCTGTCTGTGCCAGTCTCGCATTTAAATGTTTGCAAAATGAACAGACAGCATTGCCATTGCCCGATTTCCATTTCAATGCGTGGCGTTGTCTTGGCTCGTTTCCTGTCGCTAGACAACGCTGCGTATGATTAATGCCTGCTGAAGATCAACTGAAGAAAAAATTACATAGAAGAGAAAGAAAATGAAACCCGTTTAATAAATGACATCAAAAATTAAAACTCGCTGCTGGCGCGTAAATCAAATTTCTATTTACACACAGATGCCATTGATACACACACACACACACACAGGGAAGTATTTACAAGGTGTTTTTGGGCAACCTAATTTGACAGTCGGCCAGAAATAACTCAATTAGTGCCGCAACCTTTTTTTTTTTTTTTTTGCTCGAAAGTTTGTACACGACCCAAACACAAACTGAAGCAGAAAAAAATCCCCCTATCTCTCTCTATATATATTTGTATATACATTTATATATATTTGTCCCAAAAAAAAGGTCAACCCTATCCGTGACGTTGTTAGCGGTAACGAGTCATTGCGTGGGCTGAGCTTGGAGCGTGGCGTGCAGCAAAGGCCACTTGACTTGCTTTTTCCTCTTGTTTATTTTTTAATTCGACAAGTGAAGTAGCATTTGCAACCGTGCATACCCTGCTTTTGTAGGGGTTAATTGCTGTGGGCTGTGATAATTTGAATGAGCTTGACACGGAGCAAAATACGGCGGAAGACCAGCTGCACAACCAAACAGCCGCGCTAAGATACAGCCCGCAGATCTAACTAGAAGAGTTTTTAAAATTTGAAATAAAAATAAGAAACAATTTTAAAATATTTCAAAAAGTGTATAAAAACTTCAAGTGTCTACTCGAAAAAAAAAAAAAAAATAAATAAATAGAAATGATTAATTTAGAAAAATTTATTTGAAAATAAACTCGGAGAAAAAATATTAATGTATGTATACATTTTTTAATATTTAAGAAAGCATATAAAAATATAAATATTTTTTAATATAATAATAAAACTAAAAATATATTTTATATATTTTTAAATAGTACATATTTTTTCAAATATATAACAAAATAAAAATAAAAATTGAAAAATTGAAAAAAAAAAAAAATATAATAATAATAATAATTTATAATTTCGTTCACATACGGCATTGTCTCAGCTATTCAATTGCCAAAGAAAAAATACTCTATTTGATATAATAAATAAACTTCTTAATATTATTTCTTCTTAATATATTTCTTTTTTTATCTGAGATTACTATCTATAAAGTACTTTATAACAGGGCTGCGAATTGTGCTCAAATCCATCAAACTTGTCTAGCCTTATGCTCGAATCCTCAACTTTGTTAAGGGTGCTTTGTGAGGGCTCGTTAAGGGTTCGTTTCTCAATGAGCAGTAAATTAAATTTAAATATAAATCAGAAATAAATATATTACTTGATTTCCTTTATGCGTTTTTTATGAAATTAAGCCAAAGCAGAAGAAAGAAAATCTGCAATGAAATCTAATAAATCGAATCGACCTAATCAAATCTCTAGCTTACGCTCTATAAAGCATTTTGTAAGGGTATATTGTATGTTTACATACTTATTAATACAATATATACATGCATATATATGTCTATAGACTTCGCCTGATATGGTATGAGCTTGTTTGTCTACTCGAAATTTGCATTTCCATAAGCTGCGGCGCGGTTGCCTTGGCATCAATTTGGCATCGCTTACAGTTGGCAAACATCAACAGCAGCAGCAGCAGCAGCAGCAGTCGCTCTTTGGCATCATTACACACAGAGACAGAGACAGGGAGAGAGAGAGAGTAAGAGTGAGTGAAAGCGACCTCTGCTCCCATTAAAGGCTCAGCACCCTGCAGTTTCAGCCCCTGCGGCTGCATTTTTTGATTCGAGGCGCATAAAAGTATGCTACGGCATTGTAAGAGGCCTCGAGATGAGCGACGCAGCACAATGAGAAAAAAGAGAGAGAGAAAAAAAAGGAAAATACAGACTGAACTTCAAAAGACCGCCCACGGCAATTTTCAATTAAAAACGCCTACGCGAATGCTACAGAAATTTCAGTTCACTTCTGCTTGCAAGCGAGATGCGTGGCAGCATGCGGGTTGCTCTCACTGTCGGCTCCTGCCAGCCTCGCCTGCCCTCGAGCTCTTTTAAAGTTGTGCCCCAAAAATTTGGTTGATGGCCTGACATGAGATTGCACTCAAGATTTGACAGCATGTGTGTGTGCGTGTCTGTCTATCTATCTGTGCCTCTTTACAAGATATGGCCAACAGCTATATGTCAGAGCAACGTACAGTACAACTGCGCATCTCAAGCATTGACAAAATGGGATAGAAAAAAAAAATATATATATATATGTATATATAAGAAGCGCATGGTCTGGCCGTGGCTTGCGATGGCAGCGCACTTGAGTGGCGCTCGAGAACGTGGCTAAATGCGGTCGAGCACGTTGTTGTTGTTGTTGCTGTTGCTGTTGCTGTTGTCTAGCCCCTTGTTAGCTCTAAGGTGAAGAACATAAGCTAAAAACGCAGCCCAAGCTGTGTCAGTTGTATAACAGTTGCACTGCTTGCTGCACTTCACATTAGGAACTTTTTGAGACAAGCTACAGATTTGAATTATTAGATATAGTCACATTAATGTTGTGACTATTATAGTATTAGGACAGTTCTAGTGTCTGTATAACAGTTAACAATAAAATCAGACTAGGACTGTTAGGTGTTTCTCAGCTCCAAATAATATTTACAACCTGAATTGGAATTTATAGTAGCTTCACTCTTATAATCGAAGATATCCTATGCTCTTTAACATTTCTGCTTAATAGGTAAAGCTTTATATCACTTACTTTCACTTTAATCTCAGTGTTGTCATATTCTTGTATAACACATATGGGCGTATGTTTTATGCAGATATATACTCTTTTTCACTTATTCTATGTATATCACATACTCAAGTCCTTATCATACGATTTCTGTTATACATACGCATGTCTAAATGTTTTTATGACAGTTATAATCGTATGCTATTTATTGTATACCTGATATATATGATATCAGGCAAGAGAAATATATCAAATTATTCCTGAAACTTGCGCTCTCATGCTATGCAAAGATTTTGTATAACAGTTATGACTGTGATATGACTAAAACTATTTATTTGTAATTTTCAACCATTACTATTTGGAAAGTATGTTAGCTTCATCACCAATCATCAAATATATCTTGATAATACATACAAATCGGTCTTTTATGTATTTTATATAACACTTATTTATGCTTCATTTGTATAACAGTTGCCAATAAGAATTCTATTTTGGGAATTTGTAAGTTTCGTGATTAGTTAAAGTAGTAGTCAGGCTAAACTAAAGGTAAACAGAAGTCTGTTATAACACATATACAGTATGATATGAGCAATGTCTAAGGTATGCCAGTTTTTTTCGTTAGACAGGCAACATTCTTTACAATTAATAAATAATACTAGTTTTAGACTAATTAAGATTAGTTTTAACTATGCTTTGTATAACACATTATAACAGTTACTAATTGAATGCGTTCCCGTCTTCCCATTGCAGTCACGCACATCTCTCGTCTCTAGCTCGGAGGGCGGCATTCTGGCCGAAGGCGAGACATCCAGCGAGGAGAGCTCTCGCGATTCCAGCAACGATTCGCCGCCCTGTGATTTGGGCCTGATGGAGCGATTGCTGCTAACGCATCCCATGTGGTTTCTGCCCGGCATTCAGCGCTCCGGTGCCGTGCACCTGCTCCAGGGCAAAGAGGAGGGGGTGAGTGTTGATAATTATGAATATATTGATAGCGCTTAATGAGGCAATTGCGAGCGTATGCAAAAATTATGCACTGCCATAAAAAGCGGAGCACACAGCCAGCTGACCACAAAATTTGCACACAATTTGCCCAGGCCGAGCAAATATGAAATACGAAACAAAAAAGCGACCAAAAAAAAGCAAATCCCAATGGATGATGCAAACCGGCGCATTTACATAAACAAATTGCAATCAATTAACGTGAATGTGAAAGGGCAGCAGAGCGGGGCTATGCAGGGGCAGGGCCAGGGTCAGGGGCAGCGGCCGGGTGGTTTGGGTTTGGTTGCAATTGGGATTTGTGGTGCGTGTCCTGGACAAACACACAGACAGTGAAGCCCACAGATTCATTAATATTACGACAGCGACAACAATGCGAAGCCCTTTTAATTGTAAATGTATAAAGATAAACAAAGAAATGTTGCCAGGCATGCAGCAGCAGGAGAAGTAGTACGTGTAGCAGTAGGAGTGGGAGGCGGAGGCGTTGTCCAGGACTCGCGCTGCTGCGCTTGCAAATACATTGAAATTTATCTGGCTGCCAGCAAAAGGCAGACGACGCTGCGGCACATGACAAAGGCGACGAGAGACAATAGCCAGCCAATGGGATTTGTACACACAAAAAGCGTCTAGATGGGGCTGGCCAGCAAGCAGCAGGAGCAGAAACAGCAGCAGGAGCAGGAGCAGGAGCAGGAGTTGGGCCATGAGACCGACTGCTGCTGGTTGCTGCTGGTCATTTGGCGATTCAAGTCGCTTTGCATAGACAATTGAAATTACAACGAAGCGAACAGGAGAAACGCCCAACAAATTGTACAGATTCAATAAGTTGGCAAGCCGGCCGGACTGCCGGCAGGACAATGCCAAGTCGCAGTGTCCTTCGCAGCAATTATCACGTGTTCGCCAGACAGCCTGCCTGACTGGCTGGCAGGATAACAGGCAAATGGTTTCAGTGAATGCTTCATCGAATCGCCTGAATGCCAACTAAATTGCTATCCATTTGTTAGCCCAAGGCGACCGTGCCCCCTACACTCAAGTGGGGGGCGTGGCAAATGCATCACAAATTGTAAATTATATGCCAACATTTATATAAGTGAGTCTACAGAGACAGCGACTGCGACTTGGCCAGAGAAAGTTGTCAACTTAATTGAAAATAACTTGACAAAAAATGCGAAAAATGTATTGTTATATTTATGCATTTACATAAAAATATATATCAATATATAATGTATAGATGCATATATATCCAGCTGCTTTTATCTCATATTTATATATAATCCAATAAAAGCAAAGTAAAACAATGTTCACACATCAAAAGCAGGTTTTTATGTTAAATAAAATTTCGTATTGTTCGTCAATGCTCGACTAAGGAATACCGCGCAATCAGTTGCTGCCAAGCTGTCCAAAGTCTCTAATATCTCACTTTCAATTTATTTTTTAGAATATTTTAATATTCTAATCGTATAATGAATCATCTCAGAGTTCAAATATTATACTGAAAAAATTTGTATAATTTCATATATTTTAAACGAAAAATGATATACAAATTAATTGAATTTTAAACTCAATAGTATATAGAAATTAAATATTTTCCATTAGAAAAATAAAAATAAAATAAAAATAAAATAATAATTCATTTATTACTTGTGATTGTTAATGTGTCTCAAGAGAGATAATTGAGCAAAAAAAAAAAAAAAAAAAAGCTGTGATGCCTCCCAATACACCAGAGCTTCTAATAATAAATAAATCAAATTAATCAATAAAAATTAAAAATAAAAATTAAATTAAAATAATTATCGGCGCATTTCCACGAAATAATCGTTGATTTGATTTGTTGATTTTTTTTTTGCGAAATTGCGATTTGCAAAATGCTTAGAAAACATCTGTCTCACATACTTGCAAAAAATAACAATTAAATTCGTTCTAGTTTCGAAAAAAAAGTCAATTTCAATTCAAACGTATGTATACTAACATACAATAACAAAATTTAAAAAGAGCTTCTCCTGTAAAATTACATCTTTCAACATACGATCATTCTGTGAGAATGCGACATTATTAATTTAATTTGTTTCAATAGTAAATTTTAAAGAGATGCTAAAATTTCGTACTTTTATTCTCAAACACACAAAAGCCAAAAAGCCATATACCTCATTTGGGCATTTTCATGCAGGGTATTAAAACTTATGTAAATGCCATTTTTTACAAAAATATATAAATATATATTTATATGCATACATGCATGAAATATATCGCTCTAATTAAAAGTCTGCTTTTCTCAATTGCAAATATTTGAATCAGCGAAATATTTTGCTATTGAAATATTGCTTTGATTAAGTTTTAATTGAAATCAAATACTCGTTCCTTGAATGCGAAATCGAATGAAATGTAGCGCAAAACTTTTCACATATACAAATGTGAGTTGACAGCGCGAAAAGCAGTTTAACTACAGCTGTGCGGCTTGACTTTAGCTCCACACGGTGATTGCAGTTGGTTGGGATCTGCTTTGGGTCTGCTCGATGTGCCGCTGAGTCGCCTAAAAGCAGGCAACGGAAATTTCAATTACGAACTTTGCCTGCATTGAATGTCGAACAGTGGCACGCGACGGCCAGCAATGAGGCAAGAAAAAAGTGAAAAGCGTTTTTCAACTTGCCAATTCACAATTGTCGAACGCGTCGCAACAATGGCGCATTGATTGCAGGCGAGGGGCCAGAGTTGGGGGCGCAAAACTTTTCACTTTTTGCCAACTGCTGCACCTTCAGTCCATCCCCCCCGCCGACATGCTCTTTGGGGCTCTTTCTTGCATTTTCTATTCGCCTATTGAAACGCTAATTGCATGCGTCGGCGTCGCAGCTGGCGTCGCCGTCGGCAATTACACGCCCCGTCACTCCAGTGGCCGGCAGCCCAGCAGCCATTAGGCGATCCATTGGCAACTGGCGACTCCGTGTGGAGCAGTTGTTGCTACGCATTTGTTTATGCGTTTAATAAAAAAGTATTTGCATAATTGAAATTGAAATTGAAGCAGCCGCTTCAAGTGGCCGCGCACCACACCGAAACACCACTCCAACCACAATGCCCGCATCGAGCTGTGTGACTGACCCTCTGTGTAAACTGCATTGGTAAATGTTTGTAATTAAAAATCAATCAATATGTTTGAGCTACGAATGCGGCGATGGCGTTGGCTACGGCTACGGCTACGGCTACGGCTGGGGCGAGGACTACGGCTACGGCTGGGGCTATGGCTATGGCTGGCCATTTGTGGCAACACATGTGGCTGCAACAACAGCAGCCTTGCGTTTGGTCCATTTGCCTGCCTGGTATTTTAATTACTTGTTTTGCCTGCTGTCGGTTTCAATTTTTTTTTTCCTCTTCCACTCTCCCACGCCTTTTTTCCCACTGTCACTCCCTCCCTTCTTTTATTTTGTTCTTTTATTTCAACTCCATCAATCATAAACAGCTCGAAGCTGCAACCGGAGAAGCTGTCCAGGCGAACGTCTGGTCACATGTGTGTATAGGATTCTTGTTGTAATTTCAGGCTTTCGTCTACCCTGTCAAATGGGCTGGCATAGGGTATATTGAGCTCATCTTACTTATGCTGCATGCAAGGCTAGCTATTTATATACAGCACTGAAACTGGACTAACTAGAATCCGATTACAATGACGCTCAAGGGACCGTCGTTATACCCGGAATATCGTATAAGTCCACTAATATAAGTTTACTAAGCTTGTCTGGACCAGAATATATAACTGTACGGTCGCTATAAACGGTGTTGTTATAACCGGATGCAGCTGTATATACATTCGCATTTATCAGCTCTACAACCTGTTGGAAGTGTAGCAGATCCGATGGAGTATGTATATATATTCTTGCTAAGCATAGTAAGCTAAGTCGATTTATCTCTGATCATCTTTTCGTATGCATTAATGGCTCATAAGATCTAGAGGCTTTTTATCGTTTCATATATAAAAGATCGATTTTTTTCAATGAATCGATAACTGCTCTCCTTTTTAGCTTAGCGATGCGAGGTTGTTATTAAAATTGATTAATGAATTGAAATTCATTGGAGCTGGAGTCTTGAAATCTTGCATTCAGTTTCAATTAATCGATAAGTAATACCATTTGAAAGTTATCGGCAAGCATTATATTATCGAAATTTAGTAGTTAAATTACACATGATTGGAGCTAGAGTATTCAAATTCTATGTTTCGTTTCAATTAATCGATAACTAATTCCCTTTTGAGGTTATCAATACCTTCTCATGTTTGGAGAGCGAGGATTTCGAAATTCAGCATTCAGTTTCAAGTTTATTTTATACAATTTTTCTTTACTAAATATATTGAATATCAGCCTAAAATTTGAAATTCCTTAAATTGTATTTCAGTTGATGAACGGGTGTAATGCATGAGAAATTTTAAATTAAAACTAATATATATAAATATTCAAAATTAAATGTAGATAATATGCTGAAAATTCATTGAAATGCGTGGAGTAAAGAAAAACTTTGATCAAGATGAAAACATCTTCGAGCTGATATATGTTTGCTATAAATATGCAAATTCTAGCAACGGTATCTACTAGTCGGGCAGTCCCGCTTAAAGCACTTGTAATCGTTTTTATTTTTTGTTTTTGTTTTGGTCAACATTTGGCGTCAGGGATTTGGTTATGCCGGCCACAGAATGTAATTAGCAGCAAATGGCGAATGATGAAGGCTCCACGTGTGCAGTCGATAGGAAATGATTCTGTTGGCTGTTTAGCAGCGCAGCAGCTGGGACATCATTAGCCAAGTCAATAGAGGTGGAGCATTAAAATATGCCTTTTAGAATATATGTAAGAGCAATGCATTTTATAGCTCTAACAATATTTACTGCTGTATTTATCTTTAAAGTATTTTTTGGGGCTTTTCCCATTTTCAGTATTCTCTTTGAGAGTGCATTTGATTTATGCGTCGCTATCGCGATTGCAATTGCAATT